CCATTCTACGCCACTACGACCCTACAGCCCCAATGGAGGTGCACACGGACGCCAGCGGTGTAGGCCTAGGCGCTGTCCTGGCGCAGCGAAAACCCGGATTCCCTGAATATATGGTAGCATATGCAAGCCGTACGCTCACGAGAGCCGAGACAAACTACACCGTCATGGAGAAAGAGTGCCTGGCGATCGTCTGGGCCCTTACAAAGTTTCGACCTTATTTGTATGGTCGCCCATTCGATGTCGTCACCGACCATCATGCACTATGCTGGCTTTCATCATTGAAGGATCCCGTCTCGCCCGTTGGGCTCTTCGCTTACAAGACTACGACATCCGTGTGCTGTACCGCAACGGACGCCAGCATGGTGACGCTGATGCCCTCTCACGCTCCCCTCTACCTCAAGACGGCGTGCCCTGCTCAGTAACCTCAATTGCTGTATCTGCCATCGATGTTGACATCCTCGCTACTGAACAGCGAAAGGATAATTAGATCGCCCCGCTGATCAACTTGCTCTCTGATCCGTCCTCAACACCATCCACGCGTGCCTTGCGTCGTCGAGCTCACCATTTCGCCATCCGTGACGGCCTCCTACACCGACGCAATTACGACTACGATGGCCGGGAGTGGTTACTCGTCATACCCCGCAGTCTGTGGTTGGAGATAGGTGAATCTTTCCATTCTGATCCGCAATGTGCGCACTCTGGGGTATTCAAAACTTACCACCGCATTCGACAACGCTACTTCTGGCGCGGATGTACCGTTACGTGCTGCAGTTCGTTCGTTCTTGCCTCACTTGCCAACGCCGTAAACCGTCAGCACACATGTTGCACGCCGATCTGCAACCGTTACCTTGCCCTGACCGTTCCTTTGGGCGCTTAGGTATCGATTTGTATGGACCCCTTCCTCTGACGTCGGCTGGTAACCCATCGGGTTATCGTTGCCGTTGACCATTTAACGCGATACGCCGAAACCGCCGCTCTCCCTGCGGCTACTGCGCGCAATGTTGCGTCCTTCCTGCTGCATCGATTCATACTGCGCAACGGACCACCCCAAGAGCTTCTCAGCGATCGAGGCCGTGTCTTCTTGTCGGAAGTCGTCGAAGCCATTCTGACGGAGTGCCATGCTGTCCACCGCAAAACTACTGCTTACCACCCACAGACGAATGGCCTCACTGAAGGCTTTAACCGCATCCTCGGCGACATGCTTTCTATGTACGTCGCTGCCAACCACACTAATTGGGATAATATACTGCCCTTCGTCACCTACGCCTACAACACCGCCCCTCAGAGCACGACCGGTTTGTCACATTTCTACTTGCTGTACGGAAGGCACCCGTCGCACACCATGGACACGATACTCCCGTACACGCCAGATCCATCTGAGTGTACACCTATTTCCGAGACAGCCAGGCTTGCTGAAGAGTCTCGCGAGCGCGAGCTTGCCAAGACATTTACGACCCAAGAGCAAGAGCGGCAGAAGAGTATTCATGATGGCTCCACCATTTCTGAGCCCACGTTCCTTCCTGGTGCGCTTGTATGGCTCTCAATCCCGACCTCTGTAGCTGGCCTCTCTTCCAAACTACTTCCTTTCAAATACGAAGGCCCCTACCGTGTCATCGAGCGCACCTCACCCGTCAACTATCTGATCGAACCCGTTGAACAATCTTCAGACATGCGCCGCCGTGGGCGAGACATCGTCAACGTGGAGCGCCTGAAGGCTTATTATGACCCGCTCATAGTAACAAGCTGTTAGGTCGCCAGGCGGCTCCCTCTTCAACCCCGGGGTAATTGTAGCGAAGTCTCCGAACTCTGAAATGGGTCGAACTCTTGAGTACCTTCTAGTGGGGCTACCCAACAAGGACGCCGCTCGCGCTGGGAGCCCATGCTTGGCCGTGACTGTCGCCATTGTATATTCTCGCTCGTTGCCGGCTAATAAACGCCTTAACAGCTCTAATATTTTGTAGCTTGTGCTTGTTGAAAAGACTGGGCTGTAATTGCTAGATTCATCTCTAGATCCCGATTTATGTATGGGATGACCTTAGCCGTGCGCCAATCATCTGGAATTGTGTGTGTAGATAGGGAGCTAATGTATATTTTATACAAATATTGACTCACCCACTCAGCATATTTTTTAAGGAAAGTGTTTGAAATGTTATCTGGGCCAGGGGACTTCTTGGCATAAAGATTTTATAGACACCTTCTAGATTTATATTTACTTCTGACATAAGTTCAAATGAAGAGTTCGATGGCAAAGTTCGTCCAGAAGACCGATGTGTGAAGACGGAATGAAAATAAACGTTCAGTTTATCTGCTATTTGGTCTGCTTCGGTGACGATTTGATGGCCCGATGAAAGCAGGGGGATATCGGAATGCTTACTTGGCAAATAGTGGCAAAACCTTTTTGGCTCTGATCGCATGAAAGACGGTAGTGTTTCAAAGAAGAAGTGAGGCTTAGCAATAGAGATTTTGTTGTCTAACGTTATAATAAGGCTCTGTAGTTTTCTAGATATTCTGCGATTTCGTTGTCGTTTATTCTTTCTTTTTAGATGTAGAATCTCCCGCGTCACCCACGGATACTCTCGGTGAATGCGTTTTCTTTTCAGAGGAACGCAATATCTTTCCAATAACTCACGATATCTTTAAAGCATGACCACACTTCTCTTATGTTGTCAATATTTTCAAAATCGGTAAAGGATGATGCTAAATGGGCTTAAATGGCATCGTCGTCTGCATGCGCATGGTTTTCGAAATGAGTGGTGCGACTGTTTTTGTTGTTTGAGATAGCGTTATAGGACATGAAAAGATAATAATCTTGTGATCAGAAATTTTATCTTCTACACTGATACCACAGTCCTCAATTGAACTGCTGACGAACACGAGGTCAAGTATTGACGAACAAGCATCTACAACATGGGGTGCACAAGATATTAGTTGGGACAATGAAAAACTGAATGCTGTCAGTAGCAATGATTCTGAACTTGCTTTTTCTCGTTGGTCTTGGCATAATTCTGGCCAGTTTATTCCGGGCAAATTAAAATCACCACAAAGAATTATCTTCGAACGTGAGTTCGTGTGCTGTGGAATGTATTCGTGCATAATTTTTAAATATTCAGAAAAAGAGTTTGGTGGCCGGTACATTGCACCAAGAAATATGCTTCTCCCATGATAATTGACCCTGCACGACACACTTTCGTGGTATTGTCCTTTAAGTGAGAAGACTTAAGGCTATTTTAATAGCTATAGCGACCCCGCCATCCTGTGTTTGATCTTTGCAAAATAATTTGCATGAAGAGGGAACAACCTCAGAATCGAGTATGTAATCATGCAACCATGCTTTAGTATTGAATAAAATGTGTAGATTATGATTTAGTATTACACTTTCGAGTGGAGTTAGCTTGTTTAAAACACTACGGACATTAAGTGACACAACTCGCAAGATTTTGGTACAAGGCTGTCATTGCTTGCCTCAGCATTTCAGCTGCTTTTGCGCAGGCACAACTGGGTTTGGTATTTTCACCCTCATGGTTTGAAGCGTGTCCCAGACAAACAGTTCCCCGCCTACTTTCATCTCGTCATTATTTAGCGACACTTTCAAGCCTTTCACCCTCTCTTGCTCTGCAAAGTGCCAAAGTTTTCCTCTTGTGTCGCGCACTTTCTTTTAAAAATCCTCTGAAATAGCAATTTTCGTTCCTTTCAGTTTGCTGCATTCTAATAGAATTTTTTGTTTTTCTGCAAAGTCATACAACCGAAGGATAACTGGACGGGGGCGTTCTTTTTGGTATTTTTCCACACGATGAAATCTTTCAAGCGACTTCCCTTTTCTGCCTAACAATTGTTCAAACACCTCTTGTTTATAGGTGATTTCTAGTGATTTCTAATCCGCACATGGATCTTCCCCGATGCCGTAAATTACTAGATTGTTTTGTCGGCTTCGATTTTCCTAATCGTCAACTTTAGCTGACAGCTCAAGAAGTTGGTCGTTCGTGTCCTTATAGGATTGTTCGCAAGCGGCTACTTTTTGTTCAAGAGCCTGCAGACGGCATATTTCTTTCTGAATATAAGAAACCTATTCCTGAATGTTGATCACTGCAGATTCAACTCGTTTCAAGTTAGAAATTAATTCCTTCAACGATTTTGAGGTTTTTGTTTTCTCCTTCAAGATCTTTTTCAAGAGATCGTTTGTTGACATGGATTCTGATTCAGAGTTGGAAGTCGGCCCTGGGTTAGTTTATATATCACCGGTGGTTAGTAACTGCAACTTGATGACATCAACACAATCTTTCATGGTTTCAAGAAGAAAACGTGGACTTGGCAGCACTGTCAAGGCTAAACAGTCGTCTCAAATAGAATAAGTGGCTTTTTCACCAATCTGGATAACAAAGAACATCGTTGTCAAGATGGTGTTTTCTCTGCGCAAGAGTTTCTTGCCTGCTCTCCAGTGCAAGCACTGCTCTTTGCTTTTCATGCTTGTGTAGTGCATGGACAGATACACTAAGGCTTTCCACGAAATTCGAAGCCTTAGTGTGTGGATACCAAAAACTGCCAGATTTTTGTGCGTGTGTTCAGCTTTACTTCTTTAATGTGACTTTTGCTTCGATAGAATGATTTGCAACAGTAGTTGAGCTAATTGCATCGAGATATATATACTACGCCTTACACCGTGCTGTGTTACACCATGTGAAAATTCGCAACCAGAGCTTTAGAAAATAAAACAAAATTGCCCTTGTACAATGTTATTTGCATTATTGAAATACTTGTTAGCTAATGTGTTACATTCAAACCCTAGTAGAAGTTATATTAGGTTGGGGGATTACATAGGAAAGAAGAATCAAATGGAGAAAACAAGCACATATTTACTGTTTCCATTCCCCTCGTGTGAAGTTTTTTGATATATTTGTTTTCAGCAGTACTTCATGGTTATCATTTAGGAGCACTTGGCTTTTAGAGTTGCTGGTCTCATTAATTATTCTGTGCTCAACATAATTTTTTTTGTCCATTTTCAGGTTTGTCACGTACTGCTGCTACCACACCAATGTCTACAACACGTCATTCCTCGGCACAGATGTATACCTCTCGTACACGTTGGGCTCTCTAGTGGAACTGCCTGGATTGCTGCTTGTGCTGTTTGGCTTGGACACGCTTGGTCGCCGTTGGCCGATGGTTATTGTGACGGGTGTTGCTGGCATTGTTGGCATCCTGTCCATTCTCTTCCGCAACGGTGAATATTGCAAAAGCAAAGCTTGAGTGTTCTCAAAGGAGAACATCTTTAATCATTACAGTGACATAAATTTTGTATTTGTAGTTTAGGGTCATGTACAATCGCACCTATATTTTCCTAGAAAGTATAGGCACTTGAATTCTAAAAGGCATCACAGAAACAACAAAATAACAGCAGTAATATGTTATAAAAATTATCAGACAACGATAGGTAACATAAGGGTTGTTTTACAATTTCTGTGCCTGACTTAGTGGGAAGTGGCAACGATATAGAAACGTCCGTACATGTAATTTTGAAACAGTGCTCCACATTGTCTACATTCTTATCATCGTGATCTTTTAGTGGCTGTTGTCTTAAAGAAATGAAGCCTAATTTAAAACAAACAAAACAAAACAAATACAGTTGGCAACACCTCCGCAGTTGCAAAAGCGTGCCGCAGAATTCCTCTCATTCAATCAGCAAAGAGCTGACATATGTGGTAGATGGCTAGCCACTGCAAGATCCTTGTTGCTTGCTGGATATAAATCAGATTCAAGGCAGCCGCCTAGGTTATTCTAAAGATTGCCGTCTTATTGTACTAGCATGTCTTTCTGTCTAATGGTAAGCATCACCTTCTTTAGTTGGTGCATTGGTTGAGCAATATTCACATGTGGCAAGAGCCTTCCTTTAACATGAAAGTTTCAACTCTCGCAAATGATTTCCATCATTTTGTGTGTTCAGGCATGCTTGCATCACTGATCAGTAGAAAAGTCTTCTCATTGCTTTGAAATCACTCACTTGTCATTCGAAAGTGGTTGATCATGAATTTTTTCAACAGCCAAGACCCAGTTTAGAAAAAAAAGGGGGAGGGGCACGTTTATAGGCTGTGTTAAAAATCTATCCCTAGTTCTAGCTTCATGTGAGGATTGGTTAACAGGCAAGTAGAAGCTCAAAGCTTTGCTTCTTTAATTTTCCTGCATGCAGATATTGTAACCACTTTATCGTTCCTGCCATTGTTGAGATGGTGGTTTTCTTGCTTGGTCACGTTGTCAGCTTGCTTGCGCGAAGCTTCGTCATGGAGCTTTTTCGATCTGACTGAAGGAATGCTGCAAATGCTTTTAGCGCACAGCTGTAAGTTAGAACATGCTCTGCTAACACTGCAACTAATGTCTAGGTCGGGATTTGTACTAATTCCACTGCAGACGTATGCTCTATTGGCATTGAATCTTTTTCTGTCATGTACTAACTTAGTATGGGTGCATTAGTTATTTATATTTGAATTGCATGGATCCACAGCCTACTAAAATGTGCAAGCAGTAGAAGCACGTGTGAACTTTTTTCGTACTATTTCTCAGGCATGCCTGTATATAATGACATTGAGCCATTGAAGGGGTCCCACAACACTTTTTGAACATTGTTAGAAAACGCTTCATATCGGTAGTCGAGGCTCTCGAGAACACGCAAAACAAATATTATAGTGCATCGCGCGGCCTGGAATTTACAGTGAATTCTCAAAGTCAGCTAAAGATCACTTTCTGTCCTCTCAATAAATGATGCCATATGTATATGCAAAAATCATTGTGTAATTTTATTGATTTGATTGATTTGTGGAGTTTAACATCCCAAAACCACCGTATGATTATGAGAGATGCCGTAGTAGAGGGCTCCAGAAGTTTCGACCACCTGAGGTTCTTTAACGTGCACCCAAGTCTGAGCACACGAGCCTACAGCATTTTCGCCTCCATCAAAAATGCAGCCACCGCAGCCGGGATTCGATATCGCGACCTGCGGGTCAGCATCCGAGTACCTTACCCACTAAACCACCGCGGCGGGGCCATTGCGTAATAGGGCGCATTAGGGGGGGGACATTACAATGAAAATTATTTTTTTTTGTTATTTATGAAGATCAAGTGATGAAATTTGGCATGCAGATGTCATTTGGGGAGCTGATATGATAACTGAGATCTGTTTTCAGCTGTCTAATATAGTTTTTTAAGTTTCAATACTTGATTGACTCTCTTTGTCATCCCAAAATTAATTAATTAATTGGACATGAGTTTGTCAAAATGTAATGTTATTGATTTATTTGTTTAATATGCAAGGAAGCACAAAAAATATTTTGAAATGTCCTGGGCATATTGTTCTGCTAACAACCTTTACAAAAAGCTAATTATAAAAATCTTTGTGATGTGCACGCAAATAGTTACAGTTTTATGACACTCACTAATGTCTCAGAATCTCAGTCCAGAAAATGGAATGGCTCTATTTTAATTTCTTGCGAAATGGCAGAGGGATGACTGAAAGCAACTGCTAGAAAAATGAAAACTGAGAAAATGGAGCTCAAAGAAATTGGAGCTAGAAGCTAAGAAAACGGAACTTAGAAGGGAGCCGGTTTTAGTTTTTATTGACAAATGCAGCATTGTGGCTATCTTCAGCTTTGATCTGTCCTCTTTACAGTGATGCCAATATGCTGGCACTGTGCCAGGTAAACGCTGCAGATTTGTATTTTTTAAAGCTAAATTTTCTTATATCATTTGACGACAGCCTACCAGTAAAATGCTTTTTTCTCAATGTCTGCTTCTTATTTTGGTCTAATATTTTACCATAATGAAAACATGGTCTCAAGATGGCAGAAAAAAAAAAAACATGAATAATAAAATGGAACATTTTGACCAAATTTACCATTCCCATTTACCGTCCCCCCTTAGGTTAGCTTGCACCATACTTCAAAGGAGCTGCTCGAATGCGCTCGGTTGTGCCACCTTCAGAACTTAGCGTAACTGTAAGTTGTGCCGACTTCTTTTAGGTGCTCGAAAGCCTTACATGGCGAACGTTACATTGCTTCCGTAATAGGAACGAGTGGTGAAGGAGAATGCACTTCATCAGAGGAGAGAGTTGGAAACATGTCGTATCATCCAAAAGGCGTTGCAGGTGCGAGCTCTCGTGCAGTCTCGTGTGCACCATCTCAGGGTTAGAGCGCATAGAGTATGCACCGTAACTACACACTGGGAGTTGCTCTGTAACTGTTAAGTTTACAAAAGCTGTGGCAGTCGCGTCAACATTACAAAAGCCAGCTTGTACGTGCTCAAGCTTTTTCAGTTAACGCACTCATAGACTCAAGTTTCACGTCATTGGCTGATTCAAGCATGGCATGCTTGGGAGTGATAGCGCCCACTGTAAGAGGCTGCAACGTGTCGACGCGCTCGATTGTGAAGTTCAGTTTCTTTTCACACAGAGGCGGAAGCCGTGGTTAAAAGCTGGAGTGCCTGACAAAGGCCTTGGCACCCTTGTACAGCCTGACATTAATAAATGCAAGCTCATAATTGCAATGTTAGCTGCATTTGCCAGTGTAACACAATGCTGCTGTTAAGTATGCAGCATAGGCAAAATACGAAGCATCATGAAGCAACACAAAGTGATACAATGTAAAAAATGTTACACAGTACGAATCAGATATGAGTAAATGTTTCCTTGTTTGCTTCTTGAATAATTTTAATGCAACATCAAAATCGACATTCATCGACATTTTATTATTAGCTACGGTTACCTGATAATTCAATTTTTGTTTGCCATAGTTTGTGCTCATCTTAGAGATCCAGTGGATTTGTTTTTTAAAAGCGGTGTGCATCGTTAAACAAAGTACAGCTCTGAGTGTATAGTTGATTGCTCTTAATATACTGCAATAGTCAAAAAAGGTAGACTTGGACTGAAAAGCTGCGTGTTCAATAAAAAAAAACAATTAAAGAAAGAAAAAGTGTCCGATGTTACAAGGTGCTTGTGATGTACCTTCTTCTCTTGTGCCATCTCTCCCTGCTTAGCTTTCAGTATTTTTGTCCGGATGAGAGAAGAGAGAAAGAAATTACAACGTGCAGGAATTCTTTATATCTAACTCCGCTCGTACTGAACGAATTCTAAAAATTTTTGTGGCAGTCAACTCGTGATGCTACAAGCTCCTTTAGGTAAGCCATTTCATGGTTACTTGAAGAAGTGTTGCAGGGCCCCCATTACACACTCACATTGCTGTGCCTAGAGATTTTGTATTACCGTATGGGTTCACCTAGTAATTATATCATTTTAGGTGATCAATGAAGTTGTGCTTTGTAGCTTTAAAATATTATTAAGCATTCATAGGACTGAGCTTGTGAGTCTTGAAGTATTTTTTATAGCAATTTTTTCACAGTTGTTGCAGAAATAGCCATTTTGAGTAAGATGTGATGGCAATACAAATAGCTTTTTATACACTGCTAATTTGTATTGTGAACCATAATTAGCTAATGCAGTGATTTTCAATTATTTTCTGACTATAGGGGACCGCATGGTCTGCTCATATTTTACTGTATGATATTAGACATTGAAATGGTGCCACGACTGAAACAACACCACATTCCAAGCTGTTTAAGCTATCTATATTCCTGTTATCATTTTTACATATCAATAACCCTATCAGCTTTGTCACAAGGGTAACTGCCTGGTGAATAATTAGCAGCTTACTGTTTGTCTGATGCTGTGGCAGAAATTATATTTGAAGGGGTGTTTCTCTCATTTGTTTTATTGAAGGCTCAAATGTATGTGTTCTAGTGCTTATGTCCATTATGTTGCACTGATGGTATACTGTGAACTCACCTTTTGTGCAGGTTCCCATGTCTCTGTACTGGTGCTGAGCCTTTTGATGAGGGTGTGCCTGACAGCCGAGTACGACACCATCATGCAGTACTCTGCTGAGGTGTACCCAACTGTTCTCAGAGGTCGCGGCTTGGCGTTACTACGCTTTGCCGGCACCCTCAGTCTCTACGTTAGCCCACCTATCGTCTACTTGGTATGTGGTGGGCGCAACGTTTCATGTTCACCTGCTTTAGGACTGGTGTGGCCATTGCACAGTTTGTCACCGAAGAAAAGAAGCTTTCTGTTTAGTTAATGTTGTTTTTCAATACAACAGACTGCTTCTGCTTAGTGATTAGAATAAAGAGTGTCTTATTTAATGACACCAGCTGTCATGTGGCAACTTTACTGTATTTTGATTTGAGGTGCATAATGATGCATTATGACTAATTTGTGCCATTGAGGACTTGCAACACAGTGGATAACTAGGGCACTCAGATATAGTCAGATATAGTGTTTGGGGAAAATAAGGCTGGGTGCTATATTGAAGTTAAGGGAACATGCAGTATTTGCCAGAAGAGCAATGACTTTACTGCTTTTGCACTAGCTCTGCAGCAGCGAAATACCAATTAGTGAGTAGTTTACCATCCTTGTCAATGACTTAGCATCGGAAGGTCATTCTTATTTGGACTGTCTGAAATGACTAAATTCAAAATTTATGCTCATTTGTTTAATTTGTGTTGCATAAGCACAAATGACTGGTAGGCATGACTCTTTTTGCTGATATTTGCTGGGATGTGCTCATAGTTGTAAGTTTTCAGCAAGCATTGCTTAATAACATTTTCGAGCATCACTTGGCCATTTCATCTACAATAAGTGCGAAACGGTTGTCTGGGGCAATGCTGCACATTTATTTCTTGTTTTATTTGTTTCAATAGAAAAATGGCCCAACTGTTGCAGCTACTTAAAAAAGATACGGTGCTCACCACAGCCGTAGTGGATAGAAGTGCTGTTCTGTTGCGTTAGAGCCAATGTGTTTTGAGTAGCATCACATCGGGCGATGCCCTCTTCGGATTTCTTATTTGCAAAAGAGAATGTCAGCCGGGTAGCTGCTTACCAAGAAACGCAAGGTGAACACCCAGTGCTTTTTTATTTAATTGAGAATAGTGCATGTTATAACAAACAGTTTCTTTCTTGAGGACTCTGTCGCTAGAATGGAGAATAGTGAGCTATGTCTCAACAGACTTTTGGACTTCAGTGTGTTGTGACATAATTGCATTAATTTATGGCTATATCCCTCAAGCAGTTATGTTGATGTTTAGCAACTTTGACTGAGCTTGAGCAGTGCATACTGTCTGAAGATTCCTGTCGACGCTGCGTTTTCATGTGTCGTGCAGTCTCGCCTGGACCCCACATACCCAATGCTCATCACTGGCGTCATGTCTCTGGTTTTGAGTATCCTCTCCTTGTTCCTGCCTGAAACCAAAGGCAAGCACATGCCTCAGACGCTGCAAGACGGAGAGCTTTTTGGAGCAGACCAGCGTATCTTGGATTTTCCTTGCCTCGGTGACAAAGGGTTTGTGTCACGTCATTATTTTTCTTTTCTTGCTTTTAAGGATGTTTGATCATTTATGGCTAATGGTTGAGATTTTATGCTGTTCTCATTTCATTTTTAAAGGAGGAAGAAAGATGGATTCCAAATTTTATGTGTATAAATTTTATGTGTCTTGTGAAAAGTTAAATATGCACATTAGCCCCTCCTCTTTCATTTGATAGTTTGATCAGCACATGGAAGTTTTATAGAAGCCAAAATTACTCCCTGAAAGCTTAATAGCTGGAACATGAAGTACAAGTAGACTTGAAAACATTTCATTGGAATTCAAATTATGACTAGTCATGCTTCTGTCCTTACTGTGCTTGGGATGTTTACAATATAATGCAGCATGTGCAGCTTGCCATGACGATTGGAAATCACTTCATCTTCTGAGTTTCAGAGGTGCAGAAGTATTGATATAATTTTTTGGTTAGCAGCACAAAATGTTTAGTTTTAGATGCTTGTTGCCATTGGTGTTCGTTGTCATTCAGGCATTGAGTGCAAAAGAATGTGATGTGGTAATCACGTGAAACTTGATGCTGTGCATATTTATGCTGTACAACAGCACATGCACTTATTCAAGGTAATCATTTCGGTAATCATTTGGTATTTAGGTAATCATTTAGGTATTTAGGTAATCATTTGACCTTCGAAGGTAAAGTTTGGCCAACAGCATTATTTCAATCTAGATTGGTTATGAATCGGCTTAGTGAGGTTTGCCCTATATCATTGCAGTTGGCCTTAACTTAGCCGTTTTTTAAAAATCACAAAGCTCTAGAGGCTAATTCAGGCTACACAAGAATTCGCTTGGTGTGGTTACTGCGCAGCTTTAGAGGTGTGTGTCAGAAAAGTGGAAAAAAAATTCTTCCTGGATGTATTGAAGTCCAATACTGTTTGTGAAAAGCTCCGTTGAGTATTAATGCCCTTTAAATTTTTTTTTCTTTGCAGCGAGCCAACGCGTTGTGATTCACCCAATGCATCTGCTGCAGTGAGCTGCTAGGCATCGTCGATCTGCAATTTTAATCTACAAATGCTCGGCACAATCAGCATCAGACTGGGTCATTAGCAGGTTTAGTTTTGTTATTGTGAGGAAAACACTCAAAGGTCAGAAAAGGTAGCTTATTTCATATTTTTTTATGAAGTTTGCGGTTGTTTCATATTGTTGATTACATTCACAATTCAACTATGAGCTAGCAAGTGATGCCTTGGTCTTTTTTTTTATGTCCAGCAACAATTGTACATTTTCTACCAGGTAAGATGGTGCGTAAGTGTGTCTGTAATATTTCTCTTTGACTTGTAATATTGTAGTCAACAGTTTTTCAGGATGTTCTCTCTGAGATTGAGTTGAATGCTTCTGCAGCTTGCATTCTACCTGGAACTACTGATATATGTGACCATATTGTTTTGTTGTTTTACTGGCCACAAGCACACATTGCATTATAGGATGTCTTTCACAGAATCCATTTCCCATCCTTATATATGACTTCTTAAGCTATGAAATGTGATTTAGTGAACAGAACTTGCATATGTATGCTACTTCGTGCAAGGTTAGCCCAAAGTACAGACAAACATTTAGTGTACATTGTAGAAAGTTACTTGCAAATCATTGCTGAAGAAGCCTTATATTTTGTCTATTGACAAAGTGATGAAAGCTTTATTAGCTTTGTAGGAATGGAAGTGCCTTATAAAAGAGCTTTTTTTTTTTGCCTACTACGAAGTGGTTGTAATCACCAGGGGCATAGACACATAATTTGTAGTTGCTAAGTAAAAATGTACCCTATAAGCTTTCATTACAATATTTTGGTGTTCACTTTAAAAAAGACATACTTATTAAGGAAGCATGTACTTTGTAAAGTACTTTTGCAAATTCTATACCGGTAAAAATGTGTGCTTACCACAATCCTGTAGGATAGCGCTTGCTTAGTCACAGCACAGTCAGCTGTGAGATGGGAGCCTTGAATTTGCGCATATTTCTTCGTAATGGCTAGTTGCAATTTGTACAATGTAATCTTTTACATTAACTTATTGATCATGCATTTATATAATGTCAGTGTTGTACTTTATGCCAAAGGCTCACGCTGTAGTGCAAGTGACCAAAAGTGTCTACCGATTTTTGGTGGTCTTGTCTGTCATTACTATTGTCAGATAATATAACGTAGGAAGCCTTGCCGTAACTTACCTGTCTTGGTCATGTCCAGTTGCCACAATCGGTTCACAATGTACCAGTGCCACAGTTCATGAAGGGGCAAGTAAGCAGGCAGTAACGCCACCTTTGCAACTCGCCTTCACACATTCACATTTACTGGCTTGAGACAATGTAATATCCATCTTTGCTTTTCATGCACAATGACTTTGCATGTAATACCAAGTGTATGACATGCAACATGTGGGGATCATGGGTCAGGTTTAGCTCTGGTAGTTGCGTTGTCTTCAGCACGTTAAGTTATTTACGTGTACTAACCATTCCTTCACTCTTCTTTCATCCTGATGCAAAGCATCAAGAAAGTTGATATACTGAAGCAGTATGCCTATTCTGTGTCTTCTCTCTTGTTCTTGTGGCTTGGTTTACAAATGCATATTAGGCGTCCGCCACAGTGGAGCAGCAGTGATGGTGCTTCACAGCTGACCCGGAGAGTGCGGGTTTGATCCCGGCTGCGGCGGTCGCGTTTCGGTGGAGGCTGAATACTAAAGGCCCATGTAATGTGCAATTTCAGTGCTCGTTAATGGTCTAAATTTCCGTAGCCCTCCACTACAGCATCCCTCATAATACTGTTGTAGTTTTGGCTTGTTAAATTAGAGGTATTATTATTAAAATTATGTCGGGTAAAGGGACTGGAAGTTCAACAGTCACACCTTTTTTGCCTCATCAGCTTCTAAATGCTAGAAGGAAAGTAGCTCTCTGTGGGACAAGCCCACAAATGCACGGCCCTATGCAGGCAGCTTCTTCCCGTGAAATCATCAACAGAAGGTACATGCAACTATTCTCGCAGCCTGGTTCCAGACTCAGATGATGGATGAACGCAAACCTCTCTGCTGTGATACTCCTCGTTGCAGTGCAGTGAAAGCTAAAAATTCTGTTTTACTAGCGAAGTTACATTAGCTTCTGTAAATAGTGCTTACTATCATGTGACTTTGGTAGCCACATTAGATATGGAGCGTGTTTCAAAAATGCACATTTTGAAAGATTGCCTAGTTATTTTTATTATTGCTTCTAGTGCAGCCAATATCTCTTTCCAAGCTGGTTGTTTCTAAGACTGATCATTTTGTATTGCTTGAATTCTGTAGCAAACTTGAATCACTGCCGCTCTGAGTCTGAACAACCTGCTCCTCTCTCCCAACTTTTGCATACTGCATTGTTGGGCACTGGAAAGTCTGCTTACAAGCTTTTTCAGAGATGCAGTCAAGTTCTTACGTGGCACATCCTGCACATTGCATATGTTGTGAATTGTCATAGATGTAGTCAAGTGGTTCATGATCATTTGTCTTGTAAAAGTGCCTGTAACGTGTAAGTGCAACTGAGCACAATATTTATGGCTATATGCTCTAAATGGTTTGTGCTATTTGCACGTAGCCAGTGACCTGTAGCTACAAATGTTAGTCACGTTAATTGAGTGTATACATGACGTTATTGTGGAACTCCTAATGTTACTTACGCATTACACACTGCTTCAGTAACAAATTCTCAAGCAACATCTTTTGCATTAATCACCCAACTGTGGGTGCGAAATTCGTTTTTGAAGATCAACCAACTTGAGCTGAGGTCTATGGATTAGCAACATTTTTTGTTTATTTTTATTTGTGTAGGATGTGAAAGTGCCAGCAGGCTGTTAGGCAAAAGACACGTCAAGGCTTTAAAATGCAAGGTTATGGTGATAACACCATTGCTTCGGTAAAGTCCTGGCTTTCAATAATGCGAGTGAATTATATGGCATATTAGCAATCATGCTGAGCCTTTGCACATGTGAGCCGTCTGGGCATGTAAACTGTAATTAAATTATAAATCTTGGTGAAAAAGGATTGTCAGCTCTCTGTAGCTGGCTGTTAAAACCAAAGCTACGCATACAGTCGACTTCCGTCAATACGAAGTTCACAGGAACCGCAAAAACTTCTAATTAATCAAACTTCCAACTAAGCAAAATGCACAAGAAACTGCACTTTTATTGCTTAAAGCCTGACAGTTCTCTAAGAAAATAGTCTGTGATATTTTGTTGCCAAACCTGGCTGCGGCTAGCAAGTTTCCCAAGCACTACACATGTTGAAGTGCTTCTTCAGCATTGTCTTCTTTAAAAAGACATGAAACGCAATATAAGAGCGAGACCCGCAGCAACACTAGTAGAACTGGGTGGCGGTTTATTTCTGTGTCATCGTCCACTAGCCAAACCACCTGCACAATTTTTCTGTCTATTAGTGGACCACATGTATCGACATTGTTGTCACGACAACACATTTTTTAATACGGACGGGGTTAAGGATGGCCCCAAAACTAGCGTTGTCGAGTTCACCTGTTCGCACTTTATGAAGTTTGTGAGCAAGTTAGGCTTAACGCCGTACTTTTGTGCGATGTCTTGCTTGGCGGTGCCTCCCTGGTCAACTTCTTTCAAGACTTTTGACTCAAGGTCAAGTGTTCGGTAGGGGCCGCAAGTTGCCATTATCAAATGTCGCCACCACAATACTCAAAGTCAGCTGTTGAAACACGTGCGGAATCAACCCACAGGGTGTTGGCGGGCTAGTTGGTTTACCATGCTATGTTTGAACAGCCCAACTGAACGCAGACGGAGCAGGACACAAACACACACAGAGCGCTGTGTGCGTTTGGGCGTTCTTTTCCACCAGCGTCCAGTCACGCTGTTCTAACTTCAACCAGGCTTCAACGAAGCACGCGGCTGAAGTACGTGACCACCACTCAGCACATCACAACAAAAGACCTGGTTAGCTGATGCAATTAATGCGATACCCTGGCGTTCACTAAACAAGATGGCCGCTTCATGAACTGTGATGCTGCGGGCAGTGGCGATGGCGGCAACAGCGCAGTCCAACAGCTGTCTTGGCACATGAAGAACTCCCCATTTTATTCAAAAATTATGGTCACTTCGAGGATCTCAACTGAAAATAACTTCTAATTAACCAACATTACGGGCTTTTAACTTCGAATGATCGAGCATTTTTTTCCCATAGGCATGCATGCAAAATTGATGAGACCACTTGTTGACTTTTAATTAACCAAAAACTTCAATTAAGTGACTTCGAATTATCGGGAATCGACTGTACTATGTTGCATCATAATTACATTTTTGGGACTGCACGCTGCTTAAAATCAGTGTGCAGTAGCAAAACAATTTCTACAACAAGTATAACTTTTCAGCAATGCATGCTTGATTTTTGTAGAAGGTGTAGAAGCAAAAATTCTTTCTATCTTATCGTTTGCTTGAGTGCTGATACACACTCTTGCTGAGCTTACTATAACAAAGAAGAATGAGCTTTTTTGCGAAGCTGAATGTTTATAGTCACTTCAAAATTTTGGTGAGAAAGTGACCGTTTCAAAGTTTGATCAGCTAATATACACTCTCCAGTATGCTGTGATTACAATCATTTCATTTCTGGATTAGCTAATACTTTCACTAGTGCAAGCTTTTACTAATGGCTATTATATATAAGCTATTGATGCATTAATGTGCTGGTGCACTTTGCATCATTGCCATATGCCAAATTCCGAACCTAAATATGAGCTAGGTATGTCCACAAATAAATGCGATTCCACTGCAAAGAAACAATGAAGAAAGATTTGCTGGACGGATGTACTAGTGTATTCTTGCAATTCATTCTCACCGGCTTCAACTTCCAGCCATCTGTGTTTTAAGGTCAGTATGATTATGTAGTGCATTGGGTACCCTTAGTGTTGCAGAGTGAGCCAGTGAAAGCAAGCACTTGAATCTCCTTATAATCATTGGTCAGCTGTGTTACTTGTTGATGTTGTGATTGTCATTTGTTACCAGTGAAGTTGAAAGAAAAGTGCCTCACATGGAATACGTGTTCTCAGTTCAGATAGAACAGGCGTGATTTTCGCTATCTCAGGACGCACTTAAGCACTGCCTTTACGCAACGTGAGAAGTGCTCTGTGGTATTGTTATCCACACACATATCCAAAGAAATGAAGGTCATCACCATTAGAAGTGAACAAAATGCTGCAACAAAGAGCCTGCCTCATTTGTTTCCACATAAAATTTGCACATACATGATCTCTGGCTTAGTTTCCAGCATACATAATCTTGTGTAACCCTGTATGTGATAGTGAAGTTCTCGGTGACCTGCTGGTATGCATTTTTACACTGCATGCTTCAATGGTAACAAGTTCTCAAGCGAACCCTTTTAGTTCAATAATTGCTTTGCTACTCTTTGCCTGTGTCAGATTCTATGAAGTTGTCAAATGTTTTGTGATTGGAAGTAAAACTATGAAAAGGTTCCTTGTATATGGCCCTCTTTCTCCTTGTTCTTTACAATATTTGTTTACATCCTAGAGAAACTTGACTTCAGCTTTAACACTACAGACATATTATAGCAATTGAAACTCTTTACTGGTCAGCTGTACGATACCTCTGCAAATACCATGTCTTCATTAAAAAGAATGCAATGCAACATCTTCATTATGAAGAAGTGTAGTGGTTGATAAAGCATTTTGTCACCCTTCAAAATTGCGATTGATGAATTCAAAGCAAGGTTACAAGTGATGCTGTACTGGAGTTATGGGATTAGGTTGATCATGCAGTTCTTTAACTTGTCCCTAAAAACTTATTTGTACGTATTCTTGTATTTTGCTTCTATTTCGATACATATACTTTGGCTCGGTATTACCAAGCTTGTGCTTTGCAGAAGAGTATCGCAGCTACCAAGATGCTGCAGGGAATGTTTATGTGGTCAAAAGCTGCGTAGACTCTACCAAACAGGTGTTGTAGGCAGAACTGCAACTCCTTTTTGCTTTTAGGGCTGCCCATAAGTCAGCTGTGATGATCTTAAGCTTTCACTACATATTATATTGGGTATACATTAGTGTATCTAAGGTGTTTGTGTATGCAGTTTTGAAGTTGAAGTCTTGGGTCCCTCTTTCTCCTAAAACTGCTACCAGCAAAAGGGGAGGAAACGTATTGCAAGAAAAGGGGAAGTCATAATAGGTTTTCATAAAACGTGTTCATAATTCTCACCTCGCCTACTTATACACGAAAATTCTACTTATTCTTCAAACATTCTATTTGCACATCTGCTGTGGGCACCATGTGGTTCATTACGGGAATGCTCTGTCATCCTTGTTTTATGATCTAAATAGCTGATCGCAATGCCCATGCTTATCGTATGAAGAGAACCAACAACTATTGTGCAGAATAGTATCCCATACAACGTAACATGTACTGCATGTCGGTCGACAGTTAAAGTCAGCGTGACGGCTCTGGAGAATAGAGAAGAAGGATGGAGTA